TCACAAGGTTTGCATCTAAACATGAACCACCAAAGAGCTATCATCATAACTCTTTTCATCGTTTTCTTGATTTGTGTGGCATGCATGAGTCGAGCTCAAGTCGAGGCCGCAAGGGTATTATCGGAAGATTTTCCTCGGTCTGACCATTCCGCAACGTTTCCAATAGTGTACGAGAATGCGAAGGTGACGATGTCCCATTGGCTACGACGGCTGGCGTCGGGACCAAGCCCTAGAGGACCTGGCCAGTGAAGCTCATGTTGTGTTGCATATTAGTACATATGTTAGGGAGGCATAAGATATAACATAGCTAGTTTGGTACCTTTTGCTTCATATATATATGTTCATTCTTTTATTGTATTGTGAATCAAGAGTTTCACACATAATTAATTAGTCTTGTTAGGTGTTAAAGAATAGTTCATGATATTTGTTTTCATTTTTGTTTCTGGCTCAAAATAAAGTTCTTTAAATAATGAATGATCACTGTTTTCGATCATCCAGTCACTATATAGTAACATTTTTCATCGACAATTTCCGATCATCTCCAAGGGGCATGTAAAAAAACCAACGTAAACGAAGCCGCAACAAAAATAAAATAAAAGAACACAAATTACAAAGAAGAGAGTGAAGCTGTCTTTTTCCCGGGAGGCGTCGGCTGGGCCCCACCCGCCGTCCCATTATCCGTCCAGTTCGACTCCCCCCAATGCCACAGCATGCTCTCCCAGAAGCAAAAATCCTCGAAACACGTCCTCAGCCGCTTGTCCTTCACCTTCACCCGCCAGTGCCCGTCGCTAAAGTTCCCCTTCTCAGCCTGCCTCCGGTCCCACTCCAGCGCCGCCTTCTGCTTCGACCTCAGCAAACAATACCTCTGCAGCTCCCCCGGCATGGCGTCGTGGACCCGCCACCACGTCGCGTGCGCCACGTCACTCGCGAATTCTCTCAGCAGCTCCACATTCCAGTTACAGTCGTAGTCCCGAAAGCAAAGCCAGGGCTTGAGCCCCAGGTAGTGGAGCACATAGAGCACGGGCGGGTCGGCCCCGAACATGCGGGTCTTCATCTCCTTCCTCCAATCCTCGTCCCCTTCCCAGAAGTGCTTCAGGAAATTCATACGCTTCGGAATTCGGTGCCACCACGTGAAGACCTCGTTAAGGTAGCCCTGGTCCCCACCGTTGTACGATTCGATCTCGTTAATATGGTCCATCAGGAGTTGGAACATGCATTCCGAAGGCTCGATTACCATGACGCCCGAGTTGAAGAGCGTGGCGTTGTTTCCCGTGGCGGATATCTCTGGCATCTGAAAAGGGCAATTATTACACAAAACTAGGAAAAATGCATTACTTTTGAACTTTGGTGCACGATATAGAAGTTTACCTGAAAAAGGAAGTCAATGTTGCGGAGGATGAGGAGGTCAGCATCGATGAAGACGATCTTGTCATATTCGGTGAGCTGCCAGAGGCGGAACTTGCTGTAGTTCCACTCATTGTAGGCTTCGGGCTCGGCTTTGGGGTTGCGAATGCGGAGGATGGGACGGACCTTCCAGCCGGCGGACTCCAGGCCGGCACGGTGATGAGGGGTGATGGCATCATCGACGAGGACGATGAGGTCACGCGACGACCCAGACATGCGAATGCTCTGTGCCGCTGTGATGGCCCCACACACATACGCATGGGCCGAGTGGAGGATTGTCGCGTAGGCTTCGCGCTTTGGGTTGCCGCCTGAGTAAGACTTTTCTGCAAGGAGAGATGCCACAATTTGAGAGAGTGTTAACTAACAAGGGAAAAACTTCACACCAGCTAAAAGGAAAGTGTTCTGTCAAACAAAGCCATTAAATTCAAGTTTTAGTTCCATCTTGTCAATTTTCAGAGAGTTATAATTTCATATTAAGTATTAACTAACAACGAATGAAGTATTTTACAACCAACGACGCATTCCATGGGGAACCTTTTTTAGTGGAATAACAATGAAAAAGTATTATATATGCATTCAATCGCACCCTTAGCATGCCTTTATAATGCTCTTGTACTTCCAATTAAAAAAATGGAATTATATGAAGTGATGTGTGTAGTAGAACTTAGAATTGATCTAACCTTCAGTATTTAGAGGAAGTGAGAGTTCACACGACCCGACCGGTAGGCGGACCTTCTCTCTCAATTTACTCAGACTCGGCTTATAGAGCCACACGTTACCTTCCCTCACAACCAGCTCTCTGCAAGTGAAGAGATTCGGGATAGGGAAACATTCGGTTAAGAGAAGAACATGCACGGAGTGGTTCCCCTTGGCAGTTGCTGCCAGCCTAGCAGCTTCCAGCTGCAGATGCAGACGAGCCACATCCCTCGACCACTTGCGCGATTTATTGCATGGAAGCTTCACCACTATAAGGTCCAATCGTGGTTTGCCTGCAAAGCTGATTCTGGGCAGATCAGGACAGGTTGGCACTTCAAATTCCTCTTCCTCGTCCAGCCATTCGGGGTACAGTGTTTCCCAAGTGATGTTAGGCGAGGCGTAATCCATGGCAAGTACGACGTGCTCAGTATCAGGCAATAACTGCTTCCACTCGTCGATTTCATGTTCGTTGAAATTTAAGAGCCCTATTCCTTTGTAACTGCCCCTGTCAGTTAATTTACCGATCGCAACAGAAACATCGCCCCAGTTTATGTCTAAATGAGACGAATAGCTTTGGTCTATCCTGAATTTGTCCATTATCC